GTCATGCTGCCATCCAAAGACAGGCAGTCTGAATCCACTAGCTGCTCCAGGGCAGAAATATGGGCACTGTCTTCCCAGGTAATTCACAGCCTCTGAAAACCCGCTGGAGGGTGAGCGATGAGTCAATTCCAACTCAACAACACATAACATCAATTTCTAATACTACACACCTGTCTTTGAGGACATACAACCAGAATGCTCTTTAGAAGATAGAGAAACGTCATCTTACACACGTCAAACACACTGTCAGGAAGAACCAGTCCCTGAAAACAGACTTCATGCCAGGAAAGGTGGAGGGTCAGAGAAAAAGAGGAGGAACTTCAGCAAGATGGACGGACACAGTGACTGTTAACAGTGGACTCAAGCAGATCAGAGATTGTGAAGATGGCATTGGTTAGGACAGGGTTCAGATCTGTTGTTTAAAGAGCCGCTAAGAGGGGTCGTCAACTTGACTGCACCTAACGTTTATAATATTCACAAAACATATTAATTACCACAAATAAATTTAACAAAAAAGACTGAAGAATCTTCAGGGACAAAATAACGGAATCTTAATGAAAGACAATTTGAAAGTAAAGATGCTGATTCTCACCTTAACTAATCTATTCCAAAGCAATGGGCTCTTTTTCTAGAAATGAACTCTTAATAAAAAGACCAAGAGAATTCTAGTGAAATGTGACAGATTCTAGCATTCTGTATGGAAGTACAGGGACAGCCAAAACATTGCTGAAGAATGACAAGAAGACAGAAGTTGGCTTGTCAAATGGGAATACAGTGTGACACTGGCAACAGGAGAAGCAAATAAACCAGTGAAACAGAATTCATGCCCAGCAGCAGACCCACATATGCATGGATACGTGATATACAGCAGAGCGGTGCTGTACTTATTGGGGAAGGGACAGCATTTTCAATAAATGATGCTGAGAGAACTGTAAAAAAACAGAGCTAGTGCCTGACTCACCACATATATAAAATCTAATTTAGACAAACATGTAAGTGTGAAAGTCAAAACTATAAAATCTCAGAACTTAGGGGATTATCTTTTTATGACCTCAAAATAGGGATAGACTTTCTAAGACACAAACTAGGAAAAAAACCAATTGATAAATTCATTTACATGAAGGAGTTCTGTTGACTGATACATCACAAGGGCAGGAATACATAAATAAAGATAAAGAAAATAAGGAACATAAGTAAAATAGCAACTTCAACTTCCTCCTGCATCACCACAGGCTCTTGCTCATGTTATTTCATGAAATTCTTCTATGTCAGCCAATTCCTTCTTATACAATGACTCTCTGCATACTCCTTCTATCTTCTTAAAATGCTTCTTGGATCATTTAACACTCTACACAAAACATCCTTAAGTACTGCCACTCGTGGCTTGAATTTGTTTTCAACTCCTTCAGCTTAAGAAATGCAGAGCGAGTTTGCCCTTTTGATTTTCTGACTCCAGTTCTCTGCACATTTCATTATAGTATCTTGCTTTGTCATCCCAAGCTGCCCTCTGAAATTTTCTGTTCAGCTTTTTAATTTCTTCCTTTAGCTTTGGCTTCTTGGCGCTCTAATATAATACTCAGAGTATCATCTGACATCCATCTTGGTCTTTACTTCTTCTTTAGCCTTTGTAATGATCTTTTTCAGTCTTCATGGACAATTTTCTTGATATCCTCCCAGAGCTCATTTGGTCTATGCTCATTGGTGCTGTTCCTGAGATGGTTTTGAAATTCAAGGGATAAACTTAAGGTCAACTTTTGGTTCCCATGGATTTTCTTCAACTTCAGCTTGAACTTGAATGAGCAGTTAGTGGCCTGTCCCACAATCAGCAGCTGGCCTGGTTTTCACAGCTGATATTGAGACAGCACATAACAACAACAAATAAAGGAACACACCAAAAGTTGAGAAGGAATTAGCCTCTGAATATATAAAGAATGCTTATTAGGGAGTTCTGACAGCTGTGTGGATAAGGGTTTGTGCTGCCAACCCAAAATTGGAAAGACTGAATCAACCAGATGTTCCATGGGAGAAAGACGGACAACTTCCTCCTGATTTGTTGTCATTATACACCAGAGTCTGAGAACCAACGCATAGCTGACCCTCCAACATGTTCTCAGAGGCAGTATAATCGTGCAAGAATAGGTTGCCTATCTTTCACGCAAGGAGCACTGGTGGATTCAAACCACCTACCTTTAGGCTGGCAGTGCAACTCCTTACCATGAAGCCACCAAAGTTTCCCTGTGTGATTCAGTGCCTCTGAAAACTCACTGGAGGGTCAGCTATAAATTGGTTCTGACTTGACAGCAATGAATTCTGAGTATGAATCAATTTCAAAAATAATCAATGATTAAATGGGTAAGGGGAAAAAAAGACATGAGTTTTCCCAGAAAATGAAATCTGAATATATTAAAATTATATTCAGCCTCATTTTAGTAATGGGGTAAGTGAAAAATTTTAAAAATTTAGTAACAAACCACTTCACCTGCTTAGCAAAATATTTTAAAAAGTCGATTGGAAAATATCAAATGTTGGTAAGAATGAAGAAGCAGAAGGAATTCTTACCCACAAGTAGTTGAGAGCATAAACTGGCAGTTCAGAAAACCATTCTGATATTACTAGTCAGTCTGAACACTATCAGGACCTACTCCACAATTCTGTTTCTAGGTTTATTCCCTCACATGGTGATTCTCAATCCAAGTCATCTTTACCATCAAGGGACACGAGCAACAACTGGAGGTATCTCTGGTTGTCATAACTGGGAGTGTGCCTGGCATATAATAGGTTATAAGCAAAGAATGATGCTAAACATCCCACAGTGTTTAGGCCACAGGATGGTTTCTTACCCCTAAGAATTAACCAGTATCAAGGATAAAGAAACCCTGCCCTAGAAACATTTAGCATCTAGAGAAAATGTCATTTTAAAATACTTGTGTATTATTATTAACTGGTTCTGATGACATTAATTAACTAGTTATAACTGATTTCATTGCTACCAGGTTCCCTGTGGTCCAACATTTAAAATGTAATCTGTTTTCCTCAGAAATAGAAATCTAATTCATGTCAACACTGGCCTTACACAACTTTTATCACACTCTGCCTACAAGCTTCACTTTCAACTTGAATGTGCCCAGCAACGAGCCAAGGAATGAAGAAACAGAGATACTGGCTCCATCCCCAGGAAAATGATTCATGAAGTCTGGGGCTCTACTCAGTAACTCATATTTCCCCCCCAATGATCACAAAAGTGACTAATTAAGGTTGTGGACCACTCTTAAGAAACAATGAGTAAACAATGAGTAAACAAGTAAATGGTGGTGTATACAATGGACCTTAACAAACCAGCCCCTATTCTCTTTTCTGGCTTCATTCTCTTCATTACTATTCCGTCTGATACTCACTGTTGTCAGAACTTACAACTGTCTTTCTAATCTACCTTTAAAGAGTCTTCTGAATGGGATGCTCTCTCCAAATCCTCTTTTTACACCTGGCCAACTCCTATTTATCCTTTAAGGTCCTGGTCCAATTATAGATCCTTGTGAACTTTTTTCCTCAACACCTTCAGCAATTCCCTCCTCTTCGATGCTTGCACAGCATCTGACCACACCTCAGTGACTGACTGTATTTAGAACTCTATGTAGTTTATCCATTTACGTGTCTGTCTCACTAGATTCACACTCATTCACCTCTTTCATGGCACCAAGTAAATTCTCAATAAAGTTATGTCAACTAAAAGATAATTGAGAAGAAATCTCAAGCTGTGCATTATCTTGCTCCTATCATGAATGACCCCTGCTGGTAAAGTGGATAAGCCATTGACTGTTACTCAAAAGGTCAGAAGTTCAAGCCTACCATTGGAGAAAAAAAGTGTGGTAGCCTGTTTCCATCAGGATTTCTAGGCCTGGAGACCCTAGGAGGCAGTTCTACTCGGCCCTGAAGATTGCTAAGAGTTGGAACAGACTCTGTGGCAACAGGTGGGCTTTGGCTTAGATTTTGAAAGTGCAGGGGAGCTCTGGTGGCCTAGTGGCAAGCAGCTGCAACTACAACCCCAGAGGCGCACGGTTCGAATCCACCAGATGCTCTGCCGGGGAAGGAGGGACAATCTCCTCCTGTACCAGTCAGATCTGATCTGACGGTACACTCACACAAAAATAATAAAAATAAAAATAAAAAAAAAAAGAAAGTGTACTTTATCTTGAAGAGAAAGAGATATTTACTATCAAGCCAGAATAGTGAAAGTACATAAATTATCTATTAAAAAAACTATAGTGTAACTACAAATTAATCAATCAACAATTCTACAAAGGGTCTGTGCAAAAATCTGCTGCTTCCTTCTGCTCTAAAATGCCATTCAGGTCCCTGAATGAGTCACATTGTTGTGTGTGCCTCATTTCTGCAGGCGAGAAGCAGGCCCTTTAGAGCTCAGGTCACAACAAACCAAACAGCCCACAAGCAGAACTACAAGTTCGTCCTTCACTAGATCAAGGCCTTCACCTTGTCAATGTGATCAAAACGTTTTACCTTTGTGAAATTTGATCTAAAGTTGGCTTAAGTCTCTCAACTTAACTGATAAAAAAAGAAAACCCACACAAATCAAAACACAACCCAGAACATACATGAATGTGTACTTTCCCTGTCACCTTTAAAGACCTATGTGCAAGAAATTAAGACAATCCCAAATTATATGTTTTCTTTTCAGAGTCCCAAACCACATTTTTGTATCTTAAAAATTATCTTTGACTTCAAGCGTGACATACTTTCCTTAGAAGCAGAGCTGGGTAACGTTCCTAAAGACAAGATTCTAAGGTCCCCAGGTAATGGTCTACTGGCATCCCTGCTAACTTGTTGAAACCACACATTGGTAGGGAGCTTGCATTTAACACCAGGAGGACACATCCTGTAAGACTGGATGAGACACACCATCAGAAAGCTTTTGGGCAACACTGACACACAGGACTTGCATTAACTGTAAAAGAACCCACGGGTGGATCGACTAGAATGACTACCATGGTTCGGGTTCCCAGGAGAACTTTCTTCAGGGGCACTTGTGCCAGTCACACTGGGCTTCAGAGAGCTGACGCTGGACGTCCGAGAAGGCTGAGCAGGTGTCTTGACCCTGTCTTTTTTGATTTCCACCTTCATGGAAGGCTCCTTCTGTGAGCTATTAAGAAAGTCAAACAGCACCTCATCATCAGGTTCTGATTTTTTCCTGCGAACAAACTGGGACGAAGGCCTGGGAGAGGATGCGTTTTCACCAGGATGGGAGGCCTCCCCTGGTGTCCGAGGGCTTGCTTTTACATTCGCAGTGCCAGCTAAGATGGTAGCCTTTTGATTTCTAATGTGATAAGCTGCTGAGGAAATGTAAGCAGCTTTAGATCCAGTCTGATAAGTCAAGTCTGTGTGGTGCTGCTGAAGTTCAGGAGAGTCAGAAACTTTGTTATAGACGATGTTGCTGGCATTGTCTTTTCTATTGAGAGCTGTTGCAGCTCCTTGATCCACTCGGTTTAAAAGATCTTCTGCCTTCCCAGCAAGATCAGCAAACCAAGACATGACGGTGGCAGAAGAGCCTCACCGGCGAACCTGTGAAAAGAACATCACATAGTCAGTGAGACCATATAGCACAGCAGACTGGTTAAAAGCAGCTTGTAGAGTCAGATGGTCCTGGGCTGAAATCTTAACCCTGTCCCTTACTACCTATATAACCCAGAGAAAAAGACTTTTACCAAAGCTGAAAATTTTATCACAAAACTGAGAAAAACAAGAGAAAATTATCCTGTAGGGCTGTTTTCTTCCAAGATGAAATTACATATAAAAACTACTTTACAAAGTGCCTGGCACACAGTAAACACTCACTTTAGTAGCTATTATTATCGTTAAACGAGTCCTGGTGGCACACGGGTTGAAGGTCTCAGCTGCTAATTGAAAGATCAGTGGTTCAAGCCTACGGCTTGCTCCAAAGGAGAAAGCTATAGCAGTCTGCCTCTGTAAAGAAAGACTGTTGTTGTTGTTGGATGCTACTGAGTCAAGTTCAACTCACAGCAATGCTATGAAAAGCAGATCTAGACCATGTCCTATCCTGTGCCATCCTCACAATCTCTGACATCCTTGACCGCACTGCTGTAGTCACTATGTCAACCCATCTGGTTGAGTGTCCTACTCTCCTTCACGGACGCTCGATCTTTCCAAGCTTGATGTCCCTCTCCAAGGAATAGCCTTACCAAAAAATATGCTCAAAGTGTATGAGGCGAAGGTTTGCCCTCTCTGCCTCCACGAAGTATTCTGACTATACTTTCTCCAAACTTGGAAATCCTATGAGCCATTGTACTCTGTGCTAAGATCAACTAAATAACTATGGGTTCAGGTATTATTATCATTACAGCTACCACTACTATTATTTCAACAAATGGCAAATCCTAATGGAGCAAAAATATTGTTGTTGCTATGCACCACCAAGTTGCATAGTAACCCTGTGCACAACAGCTCTGAACCCTGCTCTATCTTGAACCAACCTGTCTCTGACACAACTACACTCATTACCTTTGAAACTGAGTCAATCCATTTCATTGAGGGTCTTTCCCTCCTGCGCTGCCTCTCCACCCTCCCAAGCATGACATCCCTCTCCAAGGACCGGTCCCTCCTTGCAACATACTCAAATATATGTCAGGTGAAGTTTCAGAATCCTTGCCTTCAAGGAGCAGCCTGATCTACCCTCTCCAGGACAAACCTGTTTGTTCTCCTAGCAGTCCATGGTATATTCAATAGCCTTCTCCAGCTGCACAACTCAAAGGCCTCAATTCTTCTATCATCCTTAGTTACAGTCCAGCTCTCTGATATCTATTTGTCCTCATTACAAAAAAAGTGACCCAACAGAGTGTGAAAATTAACAAACAATATTATTAAAATCACATGTAAGCAAGATCCTGCTAAAAAATGATCCCAAAATGACTAGAACAGCACATCAACAGATGTGCAGGCTGGGTTTACAAGAGGCTGAGGCACTAGGGATATTACAGCCAATGTTAGATGGATCTTGGCTGAAAGCAGAGAGTACCAGAGGAATGTCTATCACTGTTTCATTGACTAAGCAAAGGCATTTGACTGTATCACAACAAACTCTGGCTAACTCTGAGAAGACTGGGAATCCTAAAACACTTGATTGTGCTTATGCAAAACCTATTACTTGGACCAGGAGGCAATCATCAGAACAGAGCAAGAAAAACACAAGATTCAAAATCAGGAAAGATGTATGCCAGGGATGTGTCTTATCTCTATTCCTTTTCTTTTTTAACAAAATTTGTCGTGTGCCATCGAATCGGATCTGACTGGCACAGTAGGCAATTGCCCCTTCTTCTCCAACAGAGAGAGCATCTGGTGGATTCAAACCACATGCCTTCGGGACTGTAGCCCAGCTTCTTGCCACTAGACCACCAGAGCTCCTTATCTTTTCAATCTATATACAGAACAGATCATCTGGGAGGATGGGCTCTATGAGGAGGAAAATGGCATCATAATTGGAGCAAAAGCATGCAAATATTAAATGATCAATATTGCAAAATTCAAGTACAAATAAAAAAAATTTTGTTTTAGGGAAATACAACTTTAAAAAACATCTCCCTCTAATAAAAAATTATCTTAATATTAATCTGAAGCACGAGCACGTATACCTTTGATATGCAAGTATGTCATTTGTTTAAAGTACCTTCAGGAGAGACCATAGCTGACATCCAAGCAGATATATGCACACCCATGTTTATTGCAGCTTTGTTCACAATAGCAAGGAGTTGGAAACAACCTAAGTGCCCATC